GTAGCTCTCTCCTCCAGTACTCTGCCCCACATATTCTAGCTATCTTAACCTCCCTGAACCCCTTTCGTTCTCACCTCTCACCAGGTTCTGGTTGGTTCTCCTCTTCTGCACAGCAGCCTGAGAACTGCCTCCAGACAGAAAACTGGGGCAACTGTAAAATAAAACCTTGTTTCCTTTCTCTCGGGGATTATAGTTTTGTGCTGCCTTTTAGCCAGTGTTTGAAAACCATGATTACATACTTTGTCTGGTTTTTCTAGTTGTTTAAGGTGGAAAGGTAAATCTAGTCCTTGTTTCTCCATCATGGCTAGAGGCAGAAGTTTACATATATATGATAGTGGTTATATGGGATTATGCAATGGTTCTCAGGCACATTTTATGCTGAAATTTTATTGTTGCTATCCTTACTGTTGTCATTTTCTTTGTTTTTCTTTTCTCTTCTTCCACACCCACTGCAATTGATTAACCTATCAATAAAAGTGGATAGCAGAAAGTCAGATGAAAATCATCTGACCACCTTCTAAATACAGGGCACTTTAGGTACTAAAAACAAATGTAGTCCCTACCTTCAAATAGACCTTGCATCAAATAAACAAGACATAGGAGAACAGTGGAAGGTTGAAGAGGGAGAGCTAGGTCCAGTGAAAATTGTCCCTATTTTTTGCAGTAGTAGTTACAATAGCATGAATGATCAGAGCTGGGGGGACAATGGCAGAATTGGTTACAAGTTGAGACTACTTGCTAATAAAAATGGAGTCAGTGAGAGAGGGGAAAACATGGGTGAGTAGGAGGGAAGGCTAGTGAAAAACAGGGAAATTGGTGCTTAAGGAAGAAAATGGAAGAGACGGGGAAAGCATGAGGTCGGGGTTGGCTGAGGGAGGAATAGGTTTGCTTCAGCTGGACTGCTGCTCTGTCATGAGGGCTAGTGCTCTGGGAGAGCAGATAGTAGCCATTTGGGCATGCTGTAGTGGCATAGTACAAAAAATACCTGCTCTCGTGTACTTAGGGAAAGGTTATCTGCTTTTCAGGGATGCTAATGACCACGCAAGAAGACATTAGACGTTTCAAGAAAATATCAAGGCTTGATTTTGACTTTGTAATGTCATTTCTCTCAGTTCCTGTGACCTAAAGTACACAGAAGGAGTACAGTCCCTCAACTGGACTAAAATAATGAAGACCATTGTTGATGACCCTGAGGGCTTCTTCGAGCAAGGTGGCTGGTCTTTCCTGGAGCCTGAGGGTGAGGTGCGTGAGTGCGAGGTTTCTGTTCTGGTACACAGTGTTGACCACTATCATTTGGGCAGCTAGGAGAAGGACATATAAGCAGCATGTGAGGATCAGACTGCATTTTTGTTTTTCCAAATTAGTCTTACGGAAAAATGATAGACTGATTGGACGTTGATCCCCACTGACAAGATTTCTTTGCGGTTATGAAAACTGTCCTCTCCATGAGTTTCTCAGTATTTGGAAAAAATTCTTCAGGGCATTTGGCAAAAATTGTTTTCTAAAAAATGGTCCTCCTACCTCGGCGTAATGCGTTATTACCAGTTGTCTATTTCTGTGGTTAATGACCCTGGATAAGGAAGGATGACGTGACTCTTTCAGAAATATGAATTAGGAAGATAACAATAGAGAGGGTGCTACTTCTAAGTTCCAGTGCTTAGAGCTCAGTTCTTCACTTTGCACCTTACCAGTAATTTTAGATACATCTTTTTATCTCATGGTCACTTGGGTTTTTCCACGTGAAATTGAAATAATGCTGGTGTACTAAGTGGGTTGAATTAATGCATTAAATTAATAAAGTGAGTGTACAAAAAAAAAAAAAATCAGTAAACAGCATTATGCTCTAACTCACCAGGGAAGTGATGCTGAGGAAGGGGATTCAGAGTCTGAAATTGAAGATGAGACTTTTAACCCTTCGGAAGATGACTATGAAGAGGAAGAGGAGGATAGCGATGAAGACTATTCATCTGAAGCAGAAGAATCAGGTTAATCTTTTTAAGAAAAAATTTGTTAAGGCCTCTTAATTTAATATCGTTTGTGTAAACTACTTTTTTAGAAGGGAAGAATTCTGTCATTCCATTCCTGTCTAATGGCTAATACTTCATCAATTTATTTCAGACTATTCCAAGGAATCATTGGGCAGTGAAGAAGAGAGTGGAAAGGATTGGGATGAACTAGAAGAAGAAGCCCGAAAAGGTAATTTTTTTGTTTTCGGGGTGGGGGGGCTTCATTTATTTGTTTTATTTTTGCTAGTGTACAGATTTCTAGCACATTTCAGTATTTTGGGATGTTGATAGCCAAATAAGAGTTAAAGGAGTTCTGGTGGCGCAATAGTTAAGCACTCAGTTGCTAAACGAAAGGTTGGCAGTTCAAACCCACCAGCAGCTCCGAGGGAGAAAAGGCCTGGTGATCTGCTTCTATAAAGATTACAGCCTAGGAAACCCTATGGGGCAGTTCTGCTCTGTCCTATAAGGTCGCTATGAGTTTGAGTCAACTCAGTGGCACACAGCAACAGTAAGAATTAACAAAAGCACACAGTAAAACATTTGGACAATAGCCAAAAGGTGGAAAAACCACCAAAATGTCCATCAGTAGATGCATGAATAAACAAAATGTGGTATAGCCATACAATGGAATATTAAGCAGCTGTAAAGAGAAATGAGGTTTTCGTGCATGCCATAACATGGATAAACTTGAAAACATGCTGAGTGAAATAATAATCAGTTTTATGATCTCACTTATATGAAATAAGCAAATGTATAGAAACCAAAGATTATTAATGGTTATCAGAGGTGGGAAGGAGGGGGAAAGGGAGAGTTTTTTTTGGAGGCATTAAGTTTATGTTACTGGTGGTAGAATATTTTGGAAAAAGATAGTGAGAATGGTGACACAACCTGAAAAATGTAATCAGTGTCCTTGAATTGTTAATGTGGAAGTTGTGCTGGCAAATGTTTTGGTGTGTATATTTTCACTACAATTTTAAAAGACTTTTTTGGAACTACAGTTACAACTTCATTGACGAAAGGGGAAAAAATGAGGCCTGGAATTCGTCCAAGTAGGCATGATTTTGCCTAACTGCATTCTTTCTTCATCTACTCAAGCCCCAAGGTTGCTGTAGCCAAGATAGCCACATGTCATATATGGCTCCAGAATTAGGCAATTCAGTTTCCAAACCCAAGTCTTGTATTTGTCTAACTTCCTGGGTCTCTTCCAGATTAGAAATATTTTCATAGTACTAGTTTAGTTTCTCTGAAACCAAAGCCCAAATATAAGTTATAGATGAAAAAAATATTTATTATCTACTGTGTCCCAAACATTGTGATAGGTGTTTTGCAGAGGTTACCTTATTTAATCCTAAAATAATTCTCCATTTTATAAATAAACCAAAGCTTACAAAGGTTAAGTACGTGCTCAAGGCCACATAGCTAGTAAGTGCCTGAGTAATGATTAAAACTCAGATCTGATTCCAAAGTACATTCTCTGCACCATTTTATGTTATCCAGTTCTGTTAGGTTTATAGCTAATTAAAAATGCCTCTTTCTCTCCTATTTAGCGGACCGTGAAAGTCGTTACGAGGAAGAAGAAGAACACAGTCGAAGTATGAGCCGGAAGAGGAAGGCATCTGTGCACAGTTCAGGCCGAGGCTCTAACCGTGGTTCCAGACACAGCTCTGCACCACCCAAGAAAAAGAGGAAGTAACTTCTGAACTTTGGCTCTGAGCTCCATTCTTCCTCCAGCCAACCCCTGAAAATTTTACATGACATAGAAACTGTATTTTTCCTTTTGTTTTCTTTTGAAGTTTTGCCATTTGTGTTTATGGGTTTAGGGGGCCATTTGTGCGGACCAATCTACTTGAGGAATTCCAGGCCCACCAGGACACGTGCCAATGGCCCCATCCAGATGGCAAGGGAGGAGATGTTCTTGAAGAAGGCAGAGGCTTCCGCTGTTAATAAATATTGTTTATTCCTCTCTCTTCCTGTCACCTTCTGCCAGGACATCAGTGGCTTCCGACATCTTATTCTTTGGTGTCTCGAAGCTGTATTTCCAAGACATTGGTACATGGTGACCCTTAAGTACCTGTACCATGGTTCTTGACCAGCAAATTTGATCCTTCATCCTACCCTACTGCCATGACCTTCCTCACCACTCTGTAAGTTCTGTCTTTGCAGTACTCAAGAAAAGGCTCTTGGAATTTGCTAATGGTTTGTGATAATCGAAACACCTTGAGCTAGTGAGGCAGATTGGGCTGGTGCCTCCATCAGAGTTTGCCTGCTTTCTTGCCTCATGCAGATTCTGAGGTATTTCTGCTGCCTTGGAGGACATAAGAAGCAGTGACACTCCCGGGCCTGGTTTCGTCCTGTACAAATTCACACATGACAATGGTAGAAGACAAAATTACCACTGTCTCCTTTCTTTTCTGACATTTTATCTGAGGAAGAATGGTTGTGCCTCCTCCTGCTTCTAGTGAAATCTAGAGGTGGCTCAAAGGAGTCAACATTTAGATTTGGAAAGGGGCAAGTCATGCCTTGGGCCTAGAATACCCTGATGAGAAAAGAGAAGAGGAAGGGAGGCCGCATCTACAGCAAAGCCTCTCGTCACTGCTGCTCCTTATTTTTACTTGTCTTGCATTGTCCTGTATTTATCACAGTTTCTGTTGAACTGCTTTTTTAAGTATTTGGGGAGTTAATCTTGCCATCTTCCCCCTCCTGGTTCTCTGTACCCACCTGTCCCACTGCACTTCCTTCTGTGTTCTGTGACTTTAAGAGAAGGGGTGGGGGGTCTTGGATTTTGTTTGTTTTTTCTCCTTAGCAGTAGGACTTGATATTTTCGATTTTGGAAGAACTAAAAGATAAATAAACTGGTTTTTTTTTTTGTTGTTGTTGTTGTTTCGTTTGTGTAATTCACCTTTTGTGACAGTTCTTTTGTAGTTCCTGAAAGCAAGCCTGCTCCTCATCTGGTAAGGCACTAAGGCCTTACAAAAATGCCTTTATCAAGTTAGTATCACAAAGATAACTTTCATCATTCTAAGCTTTCATTCTTAAGAGAGATACTAGACATCACACAGACCAAATTCATGGTATAGCAAGTTACTTTATAAGAAACTTTTACTATGGTTCCCTCAGATTTTAGAATGGAATAGTACTTGTTCCATCACAAAAACAAATCTTCAGTCATCTCCTTGTAAATAGCATGGAGGGCAGCAGCAGCTTGTAGGGAAACCTTCAGCGTTCCTATTGGGGTGACTTGGTCTTTGGGGCTGACAACTGTTGGGAAAGAAAAAAAAGTGTCAGCCAGCATCACTCAATTAAAAAACACTTGAATACCTGGTGTTTGTCATGTTAGGTGCCAGAGATACTAAATGAACTAAGTTACTATACCACTTTGTAGGGGATTCTAGTCTAGTGGGGGAGAAAGGAAAATTAAAAGTGATCACAATATAGTATGCTAGGTGCTATGATGAATGAAAGCTCAAGCTGCTTTGGGGACACACAGAAGCAGCACCTAACCCAGAATGGAGGGATTAGAAAAGACTTTCTGGAGACCATCCCCAAGGTAAGTCTTAAAAACATTCTAAGTATGTGCCAAAACATAAGAACAGGCCGGTTTGGAAAATTACAGGGAGTGGCAGAAATGAAACTGTCCAGCCATGCAGGGACCAGATCATGAAGGTCCGTGTGTGTCTTCTAAGGAGTTTAGCTTTAATTAAAGGTATTAGAAGTGACTGTTTTTATTTGGGTTCTAGAAACATTATTATTTGGAGAATATTTTGGAAGGGGGCACAAGTAGATCAGGGAGGTGGTTAGGCTATTATAGTAATTCAGGGAAGAAATGAAAAGGGTTTAAAGTGTACAGTGGGAGTGTAGAGATAGGGGACAGATTGAAAACAGGTGAAATCAATGGAATTTTGTGATTGAATATCAGGAGTTAAGAAAAAGGTTGGAATTGATCATTCTGGCTTAGGTAACAAGGTGGATGGAGAGTGGCATTCGCTCTGAGGAAATAAAGGGACAGAGTGGTAGTCGGGGAAGTTTGAGGTACCAATGTAGCATACAAGTAGGGACGTTTATTGATTTGCTGTAAGTCTAGTTTTATTAAAAATCTGGGCAAGAAACTTAGATTTGAGATAATTCCTAAGTTATAATTAAAACCCTGGGGCAGATGCAATCACTTAGGAAGAGAGTACTTGGAGAAAAAAGGATTGAACCAGGGAAATCCAACATTTAAAGGAATAGACCAGAAAGAACCTGTAAAGGAAACAGAAGGATCACCCAGAGAAGGATTTGGAAAGTCAAAATGTCCTGAAAACAGCATTTAAAAAGGAGAATGAGCAATGATACCAAGGTTTAGAAAGGTAAAGTAAGATGAGTAATGAAAACTAATTGGCAAAATGGCAGGAGTGGATTTCAGTAGAGTGCTTGGGATGGAAATAATGCTCTTAGGAGGTGCAGAAATATAAACAGTACTGTGGGTTGATCATTCAGCAAATGTTTCAAGGAGCTGAGTTCATAAGTGATAAGAGAAAAGACATATGCAGGGCTAGAGAGGAGAGTTTTGTTTTTAAAGTCAGAGACCAGCATGTTTAAAGCCTGTACAAAGGGAGTCCATGACTAGGAGATTACTGTTTTTCTGTTAATGGTTAAAAATTCAAAAAGTTGTGAAGCATTCATTGGCTTAGTGATTCTGACCAAGGTCACTGGACAAGACAAGGAAATTTTCCTTAAGTATAAAAAACAAAGAGGCCTGGAAGAGCATGGCCATGTTTGGGGAATGGGCACAAGGAGTAGAAATTGGGAATGAAAGTTGTAGAAGAATTGCTAATACAGAGATGGCACTTACCACATGCCAGACACTGTCCTAAGTAGTTATGTTAACTCCTTTGGTCCTCACAACAACCCTATGAGGTAGGTACTGCTATTATCCCCATTTTATATTTGCAGAAACTGAGAGGTTAAATAGCTTGCTGAAGAGCACAGTTTGAAAGTACTAGAGGAATATAATGAATCTTGTCTTCAAGATCAACTTTGCAGTGTTAACTAGGTACTGAAGGTAGAACAAGAAAAATATTAGGATGGTTTCCTTAAATGGAAGAAAGAAGCACAATAATTTTGAACAATCATGTATTACTCACTGTCTAGCTCTTGCTGTAGAATGTCTCTTCCTGATTCCAGGATCTGCCACAGTTCAATATATGCATATCCTACTTCTTGACATTCATTCTTTTCGTCATCCATAGGGTCACTTACCACTGTAAACTTCAAACTAAAGAAAAAAAAAGTTCATTTAACTCAACACTACTGATACCCTTAGGCTTTAAAAATAAAATAAGGATAAAAGCAATCATAAATGATACAATGTCTTTGCCTCCATTTTATAAGATTACAATGGCAGAAAAGCTAGGAATCAGTATGCTTTGAAGGAACAACAGGCCTTGAGAAGAGGAAACCAAGACTCTTGAGATAGTGCAGTTGATCAAGTTGTCTCAAAACTGTCAAGGTATAACTCCTAGTATGATTGTTTACAATTTGATGAGAGATTTTTCTATGATAGTGGAGATGTTGCACAAAAACCAAGATTACAGAAGAAATTAGAGGGAGAGGTTTTAAACTTTTAAATAAAAGTTGAGTGTCAACCCTGTTTCCTTAGAGGAAACAGAAGGAATGCAGAATTGCAAATTGAGTATAAAACCTGTTCTTTAGAGTTGGTTTGAGTCTTGAAAGATGGTGCTGCAAGTGTGCAGCACAGTGCCTCACAAGCAGTGAGCAGTCAGTAAAAATCATTGTGACCTTGACTTGTTAGGTGCTGTTGAGTCGATTCCAACTCATAATGACCCTATGTACAACAGAATGAAACACTGCCCAGTCCTGCGCCATCCTCACGATTGTTGCTATGCTTGAGCTCGTTGTTACAACCACTGTGTCAGTCCATCTCGTTGAGGGTCTTCCTCTTTTTTTGCTGACCCTCTACCTTACCAAGCATGATGTCCTTCTCCAGGAACTAGTCCCTCCTGATAACATGTCCAAAGTATGTAAGATGGAGTCTCGCCTTGACTTAGCCTAGCAAAGAATGATACTGAGTCCAGAAACTGGTACAAATCTATAATAATTCTATTAATTTTTTTTTAGATTTATTTTAAAAAAATGTTTATTGTTTTAAGCCAAAGATTTGCAAGCTACAGCCTGCAGGCAAAATATGGCCCATTGCCTGTTTTTCTTTTCTTTTTTTTGGTTTTTGTTGTTGTTGTTAATTACGGTGAAAATAAATATAAATAAAACATTTGCCAATTTCAGCAGTTTTACATTAATTTTTTAAATTGAGATAAAATTCCCAAACAGTCAACAATTACTTTAAAACAAAGATGAGAATGTAAGGGGGCAGGGAAACTAGATGAATGGAAACAGAAACAAACCAAAACCAAACTTGATGCCGTGGAGTCGACTCCAACTTACAGCAACCCCACAGGACAGAGTAGAACTGCCCTGAAGGGTTTCCAAGGAGTGGTTGGTGGATTCAAACTGCTGACCATTTGGTTAGCAGCCGAACTCTTAAACACTACACCACCAGGGGTCCGGAAACGGAACAACCAGACAGAAATAATGAGAATATTCACAAATTGTGACGAATGCAACCAATGTCACTGAACAACTTGTATAGAAATTGTTGAATGGGAACCTAAACTGCTGTGTAAACCTTCACCAAAAACATAAATATTATTTAAAAAATTTTTGAAACCCCGAGAGTATGGCCCCCAGACACACTTTTAGCTCAGTGGTGAAGTCACTTCCGAGGTTCACAGTTCTGCCTGGGATTGGACAGGCCCATAAAACAAAATGGGACTAATGAGGCACAGCAGTCCAGAGACAAGGACTGGAAGGTAGAAAGAGACAGGAAAGCTGGTGACAGGGAACCCAACGTTGAGTAAGGACAGTGTTGACATGTAGGGTTGTTAACCATTGTCATAGGGCAACGTGTACTAACTGTTTAATGAGAAACTATTTTGTTCTGTAAACCTTAATCTAAAGGGAGAATAGCAGCACAACTGGAAGAACGTAATCGATGTCACTGAACTGTGCAT